CCCCCCACCCCACCCCGCCCCGTAATCCTCAAGTTTTAGTTCCTGGAGCTCTCCTGAACTCTCCATTCCCAAAATCGGGCAAGCAGATTACAGATGGTTGCAAATCTTTTGCCATTCGGGCCTGAGGGGCCCTGTGTTAGCTCCCTAGAACATGGCTCTTCCTGACTGTTTTGACCTATAGGAAGATACCCTTTGGAGGGCTGGCAGCGTTAGCCTGTCTCTTTAGAGCTCTGAGCCTTCGCTTAATAAGTCCCAGAATTTGGATGCTGCAGCGATGTGAGGAAGCCCAAACCAGCCACGCAGAGGCTGTAGGGAGAAAGGTGCCCCGCCAGTCTTTAGCAGTCGGTAACCCCAGTGGAGACCCAGACATTGGGGAGCAGTGAGGAGCATTTCCTATGGAGCCCTGGTTGGAATTCCTGACCCACAATATCATGAGCTATGATGATAATAAATTGGTGTTTTAAGTCATTGAGTTTGTGGTAATTCCTTACATAGACAACTAGAACGTTTGTAATACTGGATACTTTGTATTGACAGACTTTGGGATCCCAGGTTCTGAAATAATAGTCATAATACCTAATATCTTTGAACATTTCTCATGTGTCAGACAGTGCTCTAAGTCAATGTGCATTATTGCATTTAATCCTCACCATTATTATTATCTCTATTTTTCAGGTAAGGAAACAGAGCCACAAAGAGCTCTAGTAACTGGTGCAAGCATACACACAGTTGGAAGTGGTAGAGCCTTAATCTGAAACCCGCTTGGCATTGGAACCCAAACCTTTACCTGCACTTGCTCTGTTCCTGGTGGATCTGTGAGAAACTGGAATCAGAGACCTTGGAAGCCTCAGTATCTCAGAGTGTTAGACTCACAGAACCTTGGAATTGAGGACCACAGGACCCTTGAATTTCTGGACCCGGAGATTCTGACTCGTAGGTCTGGTAAAGGAACACTCCCCCTTGGCATCCGGAATGCAATGAGGGGACTCCAAGTCTCTGGGAGAGGCCAGCAGTTCCGCCTACCAGGCCCATGGATCAGCCCTTAGTCCTGTTTGGTTCCTGCCCCCCAGGGGCCCTCCTGGCTTTTTCTCCCCTTTCTAGAGTGTGGGGGACAGAGTTGGGGGAGCTCCAGGGTATCTGATGACAGAATGCCTTCCCCACACTGTCAGGTATCTCTCCCTGGATGCAAAACTCTCACCACCTTCTCAAAGCAGTCTGTTCTGTTATTAGAAAGTCTCCCTTTAATTGCCCTGAACTCTACCTCTGTGTCCCTTAGGGTGGCAGGATTTGATTGCCACTCTCAGCCAGGAGTCCCCTTTGTGTCTGGAACTTACCTAGCTTGGACACTTCTGCCATCCATAATGGGGAGGTCAGTGTCCTGGGATTTCTCTTGCACCTACCACTCCCGCTCCTTCTCCAACTGGGGCCCCTCAGTTCCTCCTGTCCTGCAGTGATTCTGCCCTCCACCCTTCTCAGGCGCCTGTCCCCATGGCCACTCCCTTGGCTTGATCATCATCAGTCTGTCCCACTCTGAGCCCCCATTCCTTTCAGCCCACTTCCTGTGAGATACCTGTCCTGCCCCAGCAGTGCTGCCTACTGAGTGCTCTGGTCTGCTGACCACTCCCACTATCACTTTCTCATCCTCCCTCTCCTCTCTTTACTTCCCTATCTACCCAGCTCAGATTCACTCCCTTGCAGAAAGCCTCAGCTCCCCAGCCCCTCTCCCTCTGTCAGGCTCGCTTGGCAAGCCTCCCTCCCTCCCCTTACTGTGAGCCTGCAGCTGAGCTGCCGACCGCCAGTGAGCACTTAGCACAGTTGGCCCATTCCCTCTGTTTCCCCAGTTGTTCTCCGCTTGTCTCACCATCCTCCCCTGAAAGACTCCCTCATTTTCTCACCACAATCCCAATGCCTCCAGGTGGACCCCTAGCCCCTGGGCAGGTTCTTTCTAAGACACCATTGTGAGCCCCTGGCTGCCCACGTTGGATGGGCTCCAGTGTTGGTATCCAGGGAGGAGGGGAAGGGACAGGATTGGCCTGCCCTCACTCTGAGACGGGTGCTATCTTTGCCTTCTGCTTCACCTTGGGATCCTTTGGCAAAGGGAACAGGGTGGCCCACCACCCACATCACATGCACTTCCTGCTTTCCTCCCCAGGTCTTACCTGCCCACAGCAAAGACAGTCAGCCCAATGGTGAGGTTCTGCTGTATAGCCTCTTGCTGGGCCACATCTGGATCAAAAGTGCCATCCCAAATAATGGGGGCTCCCCAGGAGGTACAGGTCAGGACTTCAGGCCGGGCCCTGGCCAGGGCAGGAATGGGGAGATAGCTCCATTCATCCACCCACCTGGTGCATGTTCACTGCCGTCTCCCCATGCTGGGCCCTAGGGACCCCCCCCCCCAGATGGGTCAGACCCCGTCCCTAGCCCAGAACCAACCCAGACAATCAGGAGATATGTGATCCATTAGGCTGCTGGGCAGAGCGCCTGGCTCGGCCCGGGTTGGGGATGTGAGGAGGGCAGGGACACCGGAGCACATACTGTAGGGGGTACAGATGATCTCGGAGTGGGAGGGGTGGTAGCTCCTTACCAGAGACGCAGGAGACCTGTGAAGTTGTCTTTCAACATAAGCTCTCTATCCAAAGGGCAGGTGCCCATGGGGATGAAGATTTCCAGGTGCCTGGGGGTGGGGGCAGCAGTGAGGGGCATGCCAGCCTGTCTCGGAGCCCTCTTGCTGTGCTCCTTACAAGGAGGGAGAGCCCACAAGGAAACTTGTGTGGGCTGACGTAGCCACCATCCTTCATCCTTCAGGGAGGCACTTGGAAAGATCCACTTGAACCCCGCCCCTGTGGGTCCCCCCTTGAGTGCCGGGGGCGAGGGGGTTGTACCTGACTACAGGGAGCCCGTACAGGAGCAGCGCTAAGAGGCCAACTGTAAGCAGGATCAGCCGCCAGAAGAGCCTTTTCCAGGTCCTGGGGGGTGGGGAGGGGCATCAGTAACATACACATATTTATAGTTTATATTTATACCACTTACATTTATGTTCACACATAGATATCTATACACACATATGAGGAATTATATAATTTAATGTTTCATTGTTATTTTTTTTAATATAAATATTGGGTTGTTGGAAAAGTCATGACACATTTTTGCAAAGAAAAACAGACAAAATACATTGTGAGTTTTCCAACAGCCCAATATATCCTCTCCATATGGTACAGATATTCAAAGATACAAGAGTGTATGCAATGCAGGGTCTTTCCTGTCCCAGACACTCAGCTCCTCTGCGTGGAGGCAGCAGTGTTCCCAGTTTCTTATGTCCTTTCAGAGAGTCTGTGCACATATAGGAATGTGGTAGCAAATTCTCTGCTCTGCCTCTCTCTCTCCCCCCTCCTCAGGTAGCACAGTAGATATGACATTCTGCACCTTGCATTTTCCACTGACCATTATGTCTTTTAGGTTATTCCACCTCAGTACTTAAAGGGCTTCCTTACCCTTTTTACCAGCTACCTAATCTGCCATTGGTTGACGATAGCATAACTTACCTAACTGCTGAGCATTGAGATATATGGGGCCTGACAATTAAGTTTGCAAATTCATCCTAGAAAAAGCGCTACCTACCTCAGTGCTGAATATCACTATGGTCACCTTCGAAGTACTCCCCTTGGGAAGCTATGCACCAATGCCAGCACCTAGTCCACCCTTCAAAGCAATTCTGGAACTCTCTTTCTGAAAGGCCATCAGAGCTGTTGTCGTATTACCCTTGATGTCCTGAATGTGATCAAAATGTCTTCCTTTCAATATTTCCTTTATCTTCAGGTAAAGAAAGAATCATTGGGGGCCAGATCAGGTGAGTAGGGAGGGTGTTCCAATACAGTTATTTGTTTAATAACTAGAAACTCCCTCACAGACAGTGCGGTGTGAGCTGGTGCATTGTCGTGACGCAAAAGCCATGAATTGTTGGTAAAAACTTCAGGTCGTCTAACTTTTTCACGCAGCCTTTTCAGCACTTCCAAAGAGTAAACTTGGTTAACTGTTTGTCCAGTTGGTACAGATTCATAATGAATAATCCCTCTGATATAAAAAAAAAGTTAGCAACATCGTTGCAATAAGTTCTCTAACTTAATTGTCAGACCGCGTATATCCTTTGCTTTTCTCAGTGGTGCTGGGGGCATGAACTTGGGCAGGCTTAAGGGGATGGTAACATTAGGTGAGGGGTGTTTAGCTTGGGAAGGTGGTGGAACTGACGTTGGATGGAGGAGTGTCTGGGAAGGGAGGAAGGGAAATTTGTGGCTTGGTGGCTGGAGATATGAGTTTCTGGGCTACATGGAGGGTGGCTCTGGTCAGGGACCACATATCTATGGTGGCTGCAGTCGCCTTGGAATCCTCCAGGAGGGGTCAGCAGCCCCATTCCTGGCTCAGAGGAGGTGGACTCGGATTTGTCCATGGTTGGTTGTTTTCCAGGACGGGCCCCCAACGTTGAGAATCTTAATAAGCTCCCCGCACGGGTCTCATCAGCCCTCCCAATCCCGTCTGTGTGCCTGGGTCTCCCAGAGGCTGGACCCAGGTGGTGAGGAGTATGGCCACTGGCCAGACCTCCGGGTTGGAATCACAGCTCCACCACTTACTAGCTGTCTGAGCCTGGGCAAGGTTTTAGACGTCTGTCTGCACTTCAGTCTCATCTATAAAATGTGGGCAATAAGAATACCTACCTCCGAGTTCTGTTGTGGTTATTGAGTTAATACATGCTAACCAATTAGAACAAGGCCTCACACATAGTAATAGCTCAGTAAACTTGATTATTAGTAGTATTCCTGAACAGACCCTCGTGATCCCCTAGACAACCTTCCAACTCCACTCCCTGCCCTACACATCCTTCCAGAATCTGGCTTCCTGAGTTCATTTCAGGAAACCTGCCTGGTCAGACCCTCCTGCCCCTACCTTTTCTGCTCCTCGGAGTCACATTCCTCAGCAGGTGTGAAACAGCTCAGAGGTATCTTGCTGTTGGGTGTATGTATCTACCTGCGGGCCATCTCGGAGCATTACACCTCCTTTTGTTTAGTTGGCTAAGCCAGAAATTTGGGTGCACCCTGACCACTCCCTCCGCCTCGCCTACCATCAGTCAGTCCCAGGTTGGGCTGACTTAGCTTCCTTGATCTCCCCACTCCCTGCCCCTCCTGTTCCCCCATCCCCCACGGTGACCCCGCCTGTCATCTCTCACCAGGACCATTCCAGCAGCAATCGCCCTGCTTCCACTCATTCCCTATACAGCCCCCAAAGGCATCTCATAAAACGCCAACCTGCCTTCCCAGTTTCCAAGTCACATGACCAGATAGTCAAAGAAATGCGTTTAGTAGTCAAACACGGAGAAATGTTCACCTCACTCGTAATCAAAGACATACAAATGAGAACAAGGGAGTGTGTTTTGCCTATAAAATGAGCACAATTTAAAAAGAAAGAAAACGAGCCACGTGGCCAGAATACAGTGAGACAGGCACTGTTACACTGGCTGGTGGGAGTGTGGAATGCCACAGGCTTTTAGGAATGCTACTCGGCTATGGGAATTGAAGCTTTCAGTCTTCATCCCCTTTAATCCAATAACCTCAACTTCTGGGAGCCTGTTCAAAGGAGATAATCTTCAGTATGGAAAAAGTGTATGCACCCAGATGTTCCCTCGTTTCTGTTCATTCATTCAACCTATATTTATGGGGTCCAAGCTCAGAATCAAGCACAGTGCTAGATTAAGGATTCAGAGGGGAACGAGACATAGACCTGTCTTCAGGGAGGAAGATGTGGGTGGCCATGAGGAGAGGGAATGGGTCAGATGACAGACAGCAAACAGATGAGTGGAACATAGCACAGAAGGCTATGATTAATATCAATACAAGATGCTATGAGGGTAAATCGGAGAGTGGCACCTGAGTCTTGACAGCTGGGGAGGAAGTCAAGGAAGCTTTCGGGAGGAGGTGACCTCTAAGCTAGGATCTGAGGAATTAGAAGTTATCCAAGTAAAGAAGGCAGTGGAGGGGGAAGGGAGGTCCACGGAAAGGAAACAATGTGCAAAAGTGACCAAATGTCTTTCCTCCATCAGGCTTCCCTTCTAGAAGTGCCTGGAGCATTATTGGTACAGTGACAGAGGACACCTAGGAGCACTGGTGCCACTTGATCTCCCCACTTGAATGTCTCACAAGCATCTCAAACGTATACGGCTAGAAAGGGACTCTGGATTTTCCTTGAAAGCCTGCTCCCCACTAAGGTCTCCCCCATCCTGGTAAATGGCATCGCTGTGATCTACCCCATTTCTCAAACCACAGACCTAGGAGCCCTCCTTGATGTCTCCCTTCTCTCACGCCCCACATGCAGCCCACCAGCAAGCCCTGTGGACTCTCCCACAAGCACACTCCAGTCCATCCATGTGCCTCCACTTCCTCTCGTTCCACGCCAGGCCCGTCTGGATAACTTTCATAGCCTCCTAACCAAGCTCCCTGCTTCTGCTCTTGAGCCCCAACAACCCATCCTCCAAAATGATCTTCCAAAAACATAAATCGGAACACACCTCTCTCTCTTCAAGACCTTCCAGTGACTTCCACTGCTCTTAGAATGAAACCCGCACCCTGGAGTCTGGTCTGCAAAGCTCGGTGCCTTCTGGCCTCTGCCGGCCTCTCTTGCGTTCGCCTACTGCACTCCAGCCCCCCAGCCATGCTCTCCTTTGCGTGGCTTGTGGTTTGCCCTTCTTGTCATTCGGATCTCAGTTACAATCCTCTGTGCGCCCTCTTTCGCCCTTTGGCTTCTGTCTACCAGTGACTCCGAAGTCTTTGTGTCCAGCCCAGCGTCTCGCTGAGCACTGGACTCAGGTATTGTGTTTCTCCTGGACTGCAGTGTCCACCTGGGTGTCCCACAGGCACCTCAAACTCAGGGCTCCTCAAGCTGCATCTTGTATTTCCTTCTTCCTTCTGTGTTCTCCATGATTGGTCTGTTACCCAAGTGGGACGCCTTCTCCCCCCTGCCCCCATAGCCGGTCAGTCACCACGTTCCATTGCATCTGCCTCCTCCATAGAGCCCAGAAGCTCCCACTGTGCCACCCCACTGAGCTCTTCACGCCTCAGTGTTTCTCATCCAGATTCCTGCAACTGTCTCCTAACTTGCCTCCCTTGTGTCCTCCCCACCTCTATGTCTCTGCCCAGGTTGCTCTTTTCCTATCAACCACCAGCAAGCTCTGAATCATTCAATACCCAGCTTCCTCCTTGTAACGCCTGCCTCGGCCTTCCAACACCCCACTCTCCCAAGAGCTCCATCTGTGCAAACCTCTACTCTAGCACTTGCCAGATTAGACGGTAATTATCTGCCCCATGAGGCGGTGAGTTTCCCATTTTATTAGACTGTATTCTCAGTGCCCAACCTGAGAGTCTGCCTCATATTTGGTGGTATTAATAATTATTTGTTCAGTAAATGAATGAAGCAATCAGTGGGTTCCTTGTCTTCATTCCTAAATGGTTACTCCTTTGCTTAAAATTCCTTTTTCTTCAGGGTCAAGTCTGCACTCTGTGTGAATAATCCCAGACATTTACTGAGGCAGATGCTCTGTAGAGGGAGTTTTATGTCCCTGTCTCATTGAAGTTGAACCACAATCCCTTGAAGGAGCTGCTATGATTATCTCCACCTTATAAATGAGGCAACTGTGGCTCAGAAAGGTTAAGTCACTTCCTCAAGGTCACACAGCTGGTAAGTGGTAGAGCTGGGGAGCTTTAGGTCTGTCTGACTCCTAAGCCAGAGCATGGCATTTGGGGTTCCCTATGACCTGGTCCCAGCTCAACCCTGTGGCTCGTCTTCCAAGGGTCCCTGGCCATGTTATTATTCCCAAGGCACCTCATGATCCCTGCCAGTCAATGTCTCTCCTGCAAGAAACCTTTCTTTCTCCTCACTCTCCAGCTCCACGCTGAGCTCCTGGAAGGCTGGCCACATCAGAGCCTCTCGGCTTCCAGAAGCACGACTGCCCAGAAGGTACACTATAGGAAGTACCATCTGTGCTGCAGGGCAGGAAAAGGCTGGAGTGGACCTTTCTCTGCCCTCACTGCGGCCCTGACCCTCTTAGCCAGCCCCCACCCCCTCAAGCAGGACAAGGCAAGCTGATGCTTATCGGGCACTGGACCTCAGCCAGGGCAGCCAGGCAGAGCTGGCCCCAAGTGGCCCAGGTAAGCTCCAACTGTCAGGTCGGGGAGGGTGCTGAGACCCAGGCCTGTGGTAGGCACCTGTGCCCTTCTCATGCCCCAGCCTGGGAGCCCTTAGTCCACAGAGCTCCTGGCCTGACCCATTTCACTGCATTAGTTGTTCAGGTATTTTCAAAGGGACCCCCTCCACCCCACCTCCACCTGCAGAAACTGGTCCCTTACACCCACCCCATGCCCTGTTTCCTGTTCCCTCCTTGCTTTCAAGAAGGAGCTAAGGATCCGTCATTAGTTCTTAAGTGGGAACAAGCTTCCAGTCCCGGACAGTCACTCCCACGGGGACAGAGAGCGCTCAGCTCCAGTGGGCGAGGCAGCTGCTAGGTCTTGTTCTCTGGCTCACCAAGGGGTTCAGGGTTAAGGCAACCAAGAAGAGTTCCCCAGCTCTTCACAGGCTACAAGACCCCCCAGATGTCCCCTGACCCACCGTCCATCCCCATGGGCAGTCTCTATCCTATGGGCGATGTTCCCTCTCAGTCACCTTCCCCTGGGACCTTTATGGCTCAGTTGGTGCCAAGCAGTGTCCCCACTCACCTGAGTCCCTCTTTGAGAGCCATGTCATGAAGCTGGTGGGACAGTCTTCCAAGAACCCTCTCAGCTCAGAGGCAGGGAAGAACTGACCTGTTCTCGGGTGACTGGAACAAAGCAGTTCCAGGCCATCTGGAACCACACCCACAGGAGCAAGCAGGGATGTGCCGAATGGAGAGGGACTTTGCTTGGGCACAGCGCCTGCTAGAGGACGTGGCCTCAGGATGGGGTGGGGGCTGGGAACCCCTTGGGGGCCGATCACCTGGAAGAGAATGGATCTGAGTAAGGCCAGCTCTGATTGGCCAGAGGCTCTGAGCTATTTTGGACGGACTCCTCTTTCCCCCCCAGGGCCCCTTGTGCCCCTCTTCCCTGTCTCCTGGTCCCGTCCCAGAAAGGCCCTCGGGTCAGGTTACGCAGGTAAAACCCTGTTTTGCACAGAGCTTCAGCCATATCTCACAGGGCAATCAACGATTGTCTAATTGTTATCACGGCAATGGGCAATGTATCTCCCTCCAGGAGCCCTTTGCCTCCTCATTAAAATGGGTGTACAGTGAGTGACTCAGCACAGTGTTTAAGAGCCACAGAAGATAGTGGGTATAGAATAGTTCTGGAAAGTTTACACTGGGCAGGGTTTTTAAAATGCAGGTTGTGATCCATCAGAGGGCCATGATGTTTCGTGGATCACGACCAAGATTTAAAAAGTATGAACAGGAAGAGAATCGAAAAGAAACTATCAATGTATTGTACGTAAGGGTAGGTATTGCTTTGTGAAATTTTTGTTTCAGTTAGACATATTTAAGTATGTATATGAAGGCTGCAAACATTTTTTAAACTGTGGGTCATGATAAAAAAAGGCTTATAACTTGTAGTTAAAAGACTTTATTGATGTTAGGCTACCGAGTATTTTTCAAGGGAAATTAGATGCATTCAAGTAGCATATAAATGAGGCAAAATTAAATCACGTTATTATGATAGAGGAAAAGTATATTTGATAGTAAAAGGTAATTAAACAAATTCTGTGTGAAGTATAAATAGGAAAAAATTATATATTTAAGGACACACTGTTCAAACTTACGATAGGTGGGGCCTTTCATCCAAAGTAAAGAAATATTTGCTTGCTTAAGTCAGTCCCCTCAAATTCACCATGATCTCTTTTATGAGTAGTTTTAGTTCTCTCCTGCACCATGCACACAAAAACAAACTTGGGTGGGGCCTGGCTTTCATTGTCTTTCAGAAATGGAAAATAGAGGTCCAGAATGCCGACTTGCCCAGAGCCGCCCAGCCCACCCTATACCTGCCCACAGGGCCTGGAGTGGGGGATGGGGGGGAAGCATGTGGCGTTCCCCCTGGTACCCTCTTTACTATGCACTGTCCGCAAGCTTCTTTATGTTCTCCCACTTCCCCTGCAGCTCAGGGTCTTGCTCTGGACCCCTGTTCTAGCCATTCCCCACCTCCTGAAACAACTGGACTTGACAGTCCTGGCTCCACCCCCTGAGCGATCAACTACAGAAGTGCTGATACTGCTGGCTCCCTGCCAGACCACAATAAAGCAAGTATCGCAATAAAGTGAGTCACATGAAACTTCTGGTTTCCCTGTGCATAGAAAAGTTATGTTTACACTATCCGGTGGCCTATTAAGTATACAATAACATTATATGCATCTATCATACATACTTGTACCTTCATTTAAAAATACTTTATTACTAAAAACGCTAACCATCATCTGAGCCTTACAGGAGTCGTCATCTTTTTGCTGGTGGAGGGTCTTACCTTGATGTTGATGGCAGCTGACTGATCAGGGTGGTGGTTGCTGAAGGCTGGGGGTGGCTGTGGCAATTTCTTAAAATAAGACACTGAAGTTAGCTGCATCATGGACTCTTCCCTTCATGAACGATTTCTCTGTAGCATGCGATGGCTGTTTGGTCGCATTTTACCCACGTAGAATGTCTCAAAATTGAAAATCGCCAATCTTCTCAGAACTTGCTGCTGCTTTATCAACTCAGATTATGTAATATTCTAAATCCTTTGTTGTCATTGTGACAATCTTCAAGGCATCTTCATTCACCAGTAGACGGAGACACAAAATGAGCAAATGCTGTTGGAAAAATACTTGCTCAGGGCAGAGTTGCCCCAAACCTTCCATTTGTAAAAAAATTGAACCTGTGAACTGCTATAGAGTGCAAATACAAGGTACGCCTCTAATCAGTTTGTTTCCCCTCCTCTCCCACATAGTAGTTACATATTAACATGCTTTCCAGAAAGGTGTTAACAACATTGCTTCCTTTCTCTGCCTTGGTTTTCCAGGGTTCCACCCTTAGAGACTCCAATTCTATAGGCTGAGGCCTGGGTCTCAAACTTATATTTTACACAAGTGGAAACACTGCCGTAAAAAACCAGGCGAAGGGGAAGGAGCAGGTCAAGTTGCCCCCCTCTCGTCTTCCCCTGGGAGAGATGCAGGGGGATTTGAAGCTCTGTGCCAGCAGGGCACAGGGGTGTCTTGTTCACCGCCGAGGCACAAGCCTCTGGACCACCAGCCGCTGTTGGCCGCACACACCAGTTGGTCTCACCCAGCAGCCAGTGTCGTGCTAGTCTGCACTCCCACCTTCACACCCATGCTGGGTGAGCTGCCTGGTTCTGGAATGCCCTGTCTCCTTTATTCAAGGCTTAGATGTCACTTCCTTGGGGGCAGTGGCTCTTCTAGTTAATTTGCTATTACAGCATCGAAAAAATGCTCAGAAAGCGCTGAGTGAGCCAGAGTCATTCCACGGGCTATTCTGGACACTGAGCAGCAACAAGGGGAGGTATCTGTTGGGGGATGGGGGAGTCTGGGCTCTGCCTCAGGTGCTCCCGATATTCCTGACCCAATAGCGTCATGGGAATGGTGGGTAGCGGGCCTCAGAGCTGAAGGGCTCTGGACCCTCCCATTCCAGGGGACACTCTTGTGAACAGCAGCGGTGGGATCTGCTTCTCCTGTGAGGACCAGGACTAAGGGTGCCCGCAAATAATCCGGCCTCAGCCAAGTGCGGAGGATATGCAGTCTGGTTAGGTGGTGGGCCCAACCCCTACCCACACACCACCCCCTCCTTATGGGTGAGATGTAGCCATTCAGGACCTACACCTGCAGACAGGCATCCGTGGGGAAAAAAAGACACAGAAAAAAGAGATTTTACAGATTTATTTTTAAAAAAACAAAAACAAAAGGTTAAAAAAGTCCTTCATTTCCAACCCTGCCTGGGGGTGTAACTGGGGAATAGAACAAGCTGAGAAAGGTGCCCCACCTTCTTCTGGGGAACCTGCAAAGGACAGGGTGAGTCAGAGGCAGGCCCTCGCCCTGCCTCCTCTGCAGCCCGAGTTGCTGCTAGCAGGATCCAGAGGCCATGTGTGGGGGTGGGAGGCCAAAGGCTGCCTTCTTCCGTCAGTGGTCACGCCAGCTCTTCTGTCCCCTCAGATGTTCTCTGGGCCCCCACCACTGGGGCTCCCAGGGTGGGCAGGACAGGAGGCTCGCCTGACCTAGCCCACCCACTGGCAGCTTCCTTAATGCTATTTGTGACACAGCAGGGCAGTCAGGGGAACTTCACAGTGTGGGGAAGGGGCTTCAGAGACATTGTGACGAGTCTGGAAAGGAACACCTCCTCTTCATCGCTTTCTGACCTTGCCTCTGCACTGGGGCCGCCCTTCTTTCTGTTCCCCCATCCTGAGGCTAAGTGGAGTCCAGGACAAAGCACTAAGTGGCTGTTTGCTACAAAACACCTGCAGAAGCCAGAGGGTGGCTCTTGGCCTATCTGTCAGTCCAGGCTCCCACACAGTCATTCAGTCACACACACAGCGTTAAGGCGTCTGTGCCAGCAGGCATGGCCAAAATGGGCCCAGCTTCTCTCTCTCCACCTGCAGAAAGTGAAGGGGGGAAACACCTGGCTGCTTCAGAAACAAGCTGAAGGGGAGAAGCTGGCAGCAGGGGCATTAGCCAGGCCTGGAGCAAGAAGTGGGAGGAAGGCAGGCAAGGGCTTTCCAGGCCTCTATCCAGGCCTGATGGCTGCCCTTGGAAATAACCCAACTCAGGTTGGGGAGCCCTGACCATATACCCCCTGGAAAATGGGGGACGGAGAGAGGGGGAGAGAGCGGGGCTAGAGTATTGGGACTTTGGAGGAAGCCAGTGCTATCAATATTTACAAGCATAAAGCCCCATCTTCTGCGCCACCTACCTCTCTGCCCCTCCCACAGAAAGAAAGGCCCCTGAGAGCCATGGAGGAGGTGCCAAGACCTCCTCACCAGCCACGCCCCACAGGGAGAGCCCCTGCCCTCCTACTGGCCCCGTGTCTGGGCCCCTTAGGAATGTCTGCCTGGCTCTGCTCAGCTGGGAGGAGGCGTCCTGGGCCAGAATCCTGGCTCCCCTGGCGAGCCCTACGAGTCCTTGAGCATGCTGATGCGAGCATAGATCTTCAGGGCGGGCCCCAGCTTGATGTTCATAGCACTCATCAGATGGTCTTCCTTGAGCAGCAGCAGAGCTTGCCCGTCGATTTCCTGGGCACGGAATTCCTCTGCTATCTCCTGGCAGCCTGAGGGGGACAGCACCAAAGACAGTATCAATCAGAGCTAGCAGTGTTCACTCTTGGCAGTCACTGAACTTCAGACACATCATCTCATTGAATCCTCAAGACCATACCTTAAGGAAGGTGCTGCTGTTCTTACTTTACAACCTGAGAGAGGCTATGTGACTTGCCCGAGGTAGCCAGGTTCCAGGATGGCCCCCAGGGAGCCACGCCTCCTTAGTCACGCATGTTATCTGTTCAGACCCCCGCCCCTCAATGAACTAGCTGACCTGGGAGATCAATAAGGTATGTGGTAGTGACAGTATGTAATTTCCAAGGTTGGATCATAAAGGGCACACCTTGCTCTTTTGGATCATTTATTCTGGAGTAAGCCAGCTACCATGTCATGAGGACACTCAAGCAGTTCTCTGGTGAGGCCAACGTGGAGAGGAACTAAGGCCTCTTGCCCACAGCCAGCCCCCCATTTCATGTGAGTGAGGCACCTCAGATGTGAATTCTCCAGCTCCAAACCTTCAGACAACTGCAGCTACGGCTGACATCTTCATTGAGGCCTTGTAAGAGACCCCAAGCCAGTACTGCCCAGCTAAGCCACTCCACGTTCCTGACTGCACAAACACTTGAAATAATAATTATTGTTTTAAGCCACTAAGTTTTGGGGTAACTTGTTTCACAACAAAATAACTAATGCAGGTTTTGGTACCTGGAAGAGGGGTGCTGCCATAACAAACCCTAAAAATGTGGGCGTGGCCTTGGAAGTGACAGGGGACAGGAGCTGGAAGGACTTTGAGGAGAGTGTCAGTGACCGTCTCTGACGGTCTGAGGTACTCTGAGAGACTAAGTAGAAGTCTGAGGGCCTTTGAGAAACTCCTGGGGAGCCTTACAGGAAAGTTGAGAAAACTGTTATCAGGAACTGGAAAGAAGCATCCTTGCTGTGAAATGGAAGACTCAGCAACCTGTTGCTGGTGGTAACATGCTAAGTTTAATGTACCTATCGGACTCAGTGATCTGGCTAATGAGAGACTGTCAGGCAGAATGTTGACAGCGTTGCCTGGCTGCTTCTGCTGCTTATAGTGAAATGAGAGGAGTGAGATAAAGGAAAACTGTTCAACATAAAGGAGCCAGGATTTGCTGTTTTGAATATCCCTAGCCTCTCCAGATGGCAAATGATGCTAAAATTAACAAATGATTTATAGGCAAAAATCAAATCCAGGGCATGGTCAAGAAAACTTGGCCTACAGATGACACTAAGGATGTGACTTAAATCTTTTAAAATCTCAGAGAGATCTAAGGTGCTGCCTCAGAGAGCTGTTCAACCAAAAGGCTCTCTAAGGATTTTATGGGAATGCCTCAGGTTCTCTCCTTTCAACAGCAGGGCTTCTCGGACTATTAAGCACACTGTCCCTCAGCTTCAGAAGAAGCCTGACGCAGAGGAAGGGTTGTCTTGAAGACATTTTTGTGTATGGTTTTTGTCTAATGAGCCCCAATAAGATACATGGGAAACCCACAAGAATTTTAAAAGAATTGTTGGCAGAAACACTGCTCGCTTCGACTGAAAGGGTCAGAGGGTAATACAACATAAAAAGCAGCTGAAAGTAGTAGGCTGAGGAAATGACTCCACTTAAAACTCAGGGCTAAGGCCGCCTGAGTGGCGCGTTGGTTAAGAGCTGGCTTGGGACGCCAGAGGGCCCCGGTTCGGATCCCACATGAGGGCCAGTGACACTGCCCTCCACAGCTAAGATG